CCCGCACTTTTCAATACGCACAAGTAAGGGTTCAGACTTGGGATTTCAACTTTAAAGGAGCGATACACAAACAATCTATCTCTTAAATAGGTATACATTCATCAGAGTTCCACAAAGTGACTATCACTGAATTTCGAGTATTTCAACAGTTGGAAAATGCAAAAAAATTTCCCATTTTTTTTTCAATTTGACAAACCTATGAAATTAATGTCAGTTCTTGCTTTTCCATCAATTTATTTGTATTTATGTATGACTGTCACTGCTTGTCGTCATAGTGTCCGTAGTCCGTACTCTGATTATTATACAAAAACCTCAAAACAGCAGTGTCAAGAACATTAAGGAACTCTAGTGATTTTTCTCCGTTTTCAACGTACTTCTATGTAACGTGTTACTTTCCGTGCCTAAAGATTACTATTAATTCCATTTTTATATTTTCTCAGTCACTTCATCACAGATTTTTTAGGTTTCTTGATATATTTCTTTCTCAATTTGAGTGATAAGTTCCAATTCAAAACTTCACTCAGCGTGCCTTCCTATAGCCGCTACTCTACTTTACTACAAACTTTATTTGCTCTCTCACCATGTTTATGAGATGTGGCACGTCGCTTCGTTCTCCAAGATCCTTCTTGTTTTATCTATGGAACATACATGCGCAACTAGCTCTCGATGTGTAGAATTTCGGGTGGTCTTGCCCCAAATCTTATTTTGGTCTATGCGCTGAAATTCGCTAGATAGCCGTTCACGATGCGAAGAGGCTGTCGGTTTGAATCCTGCTATCGGCTGAGCATTTTTCTTCAAAATGTGGGATTCATGGTTGTAATCCTGGCAACACCTCGATGCCCTAGAAGTGGTTCGGATTCCACTATAAGCTGTAGGTCCCGCTCTTCCTAACCCCTCACAAGTTTCGACTTCTGGGGAGTTGGTTCCCAACTTTGAAGTAGCGATATACAAAATTTACAAATACAAAATTTACGAATTCACATATATTATACCTTGGGCATTCTTAGGGTTTCAATTCAATTGTATTCGTTTCGATGACACGACCCTGCTGTATATTATAATATCGACACATCATTATCATTATTTTTATCAATATTATCATAATCTACTGTTTCAGATCATTGTATGAAACTCCGAGAGCAATCTGGCGGTGATGAGAATTTATTCACTGCCGAAAGAAGGTTTCAGCGGTTACAGAAAAAGCGAGAAAAGCATAATAAGAAATTGAATGATAAGAAGTCACATGACAACAATGTTTTCAATTTTATCAATAAGACTCTGGAGGATAACGATGAGAATACAAAGAGAGGTCGTTTGGGAGAATGGCAGCAAGTGAAACAAGAGTGTTCAAGAAATTTGAATATCAAGAGCTTACAATTAGCAGAGAGTATTAGGCGATCAGAAAGAGCTTTAGAAATATTGAACGAGTCGTTATCAAGGAATACTGATGTTACTTCAAGTATCCATAATAAACTGAAAGATAAACTAGTGCATACACAAAATCAGCTAAGGTCATATCACTCTCAAGCAGAACTTATCAAGAATGAACAGAGTTTTAGAAAAGATAAGAAGAAAATGACAATCTTTTAGAGAAAATTACATTTTTCTATTTGTTCATATCATATATGTTAGCTGTACAAATAAAAACAACAGATTAAAACAAATAAAAGTAACGTGTATTTTTGAATATGCATCGTGAATGAATAATGTCTATTGTAAATGAACCGAATTTGAAACAACTATGATTATGAATGGAATGGGGATAATGGACCATGGAGATGGCCTCCTAGATCACCAAATCTAACTCCTAGCTCTAGATTTTTATCTAAGGGGCCCTATATTAAAGCCAAATCTATGATCGGCTAGTTAAGTCTCATAAAGAACTGGAACAGAGAATAAGAAGTTTCGGGGAATTAGATATGGAAGTTAGAAGACCGTCGAATTAAGAAGTCGAAAGAAGGATCGTGTAATGTTTGGATATAGACGGACGACACATTGAACACTTGAATTAATATTGATACATTACTGATGCATAATTTTTTTATATCTGCTGTTTGGTATACCTGAATAACCTCAACTCATGGGGATTGGTCCTGTTGTTGTTTTCTGTTTGTGACTTCAAATTCTAAATATTGTGATTCTATTCTTCTGAAATTTGTTTGGATCAGTTGAGGCAAGTTCGGATATCTCTCTTCAAAAAGACAAGTTCTCTCAATAATCTTATGACACTCCCCATGAATGTAGAATAAATTCAAAATATCACTATTAAAATAATTATTGTTCATTTCATTCTGCAAATTGGAATTGCATGAATTTCTGTCAGATAACATTATAGTGTTTATTTCGATTGCGAATGTTCAGCCTGGCCTACTCTGTTAACACATTGTTATTATTCATGCAATTGAAATCCTCCTTACATTTTTATGAATTAGTCTCCATAGCTGGAGATCCTTCGAAGGTGGATATGGAAAATATATGGAAGCAGAACATCGTGCATCCACTTGATGAATATAATACTTTCAGGTTTTTTTCAAATCCGAATGACAATTTAATTCTGAAAAAGTTTTCGGTCTCATTTTGGAGATCATCATAAATACCGGGTGTAACAGGATCATGGTACACCAATCCATTTGGATGAACTGAATTTGGTGATAAATCAAGAAATTTTACGATTTTGACAAGATTGAATTTTTTCTAGCACTACACCTGTCGATAGGAGTACATCAAACTTTAATACAAAATCAAAAATGATATCAAAATCAATATTGAAGTTTGAAATGTCACTTATATATGTGGTATCATTAGATTCAAAAAATGATGCAGAATTCGAAAATGCAAAGATATCGGGGTGTTTCATTTGAAAACCTCTTACCACTTCCGGTGAATCCGTAACCTTTAAGTTGTTGACCCGCCAAATTTCAATCACTTATCTCCAAATCTAAAGAAAAAAATTGGGTATACCATGATCCTGTTACACCCGGTATAGTAGCTTTGGTAATATTTTAAACGTTCTAGTTTTGAAAATGTTGGAGATACATATTTTTGAATATACTAGTAAAATTTGCACAAAGATTGTGCAATAACTCGAAAACGGTATGAGATCAGTACCTATATATGAACATATTATAAAAAATCTCGAAATAATATGCAGAAATCAAAAATGGAATGAAATATAGGTTGTTCCATCTAAAATAATACATGTAGTGTAATCATCTCTTGCTCACTTTTTCTGTGAATTATCGTCGTATTGGTTGGACAATGACTGAATGATGCAGAGCACTGACATAAACTATATCTAGCTAGACCGCTAATGCCATAAGAAAGAATCTGTGTCACTCACGAAAGCGTACTGGAAAATATGAATCATTCGCATTTAGGACCTGTCATATATCTTACTCACTCTCACTCATTTCTACGAACACGAAGAAACATGACCCACTGTCATGAATGACAGTTCGAGAGTTTCTGTACATTGGGCAGTAGCGTTTTCAGGCGACCAATTCACCTGATATTTTCGGGTTGCTGGGATATGACATATATAGCGGTCTAGAAGGGGGCCAGGTAGCCGCGTGGTAGAAGCTTTAGTTTTCTAATCGCGATGGCTGGCCGGTCGTAGGTTCGAATCCAACGAATCCAAACGACTGCAGACATTTTTCGGATCACCCAAGAAAGTGTTAGGGAGCAACCAAATGACTGATAAAAACATTAGAAAATTTTTTTTAGATTGTAGTTATATGTCAGTGATGATTGTGCCACGCGCGAGCAAAACGAATTTTCGCGTTCTGCAAATAGTCAATATCAAATCTTTGTTGGTTTCACTTACAGTTGAAAATAAAAACCAATAAAATAAAATATAATCTTCTCAAAGTCAATTGGAGTATTTCCCTCAAAAAACATACACTGCACAGTGTCGGCTCGTTTGAAGTCCGTACACGTAGCGGACACTCCTTGCTCGACGCGTTCTTACTGACTGGATAGATTATAAGACGATTAAAACTGTGACGACAAAGGTGACGACCGAGTAAAGTCAGTTTATTGCATTTGCGTATAGTTCACCATCAGTAGCTTGTATTTTTGCATAACCAATAGGTACTCACCTATTTGAATTTGACAAGACGATTGGATACTTATCACATCATTATACACTATCGCATTGTCATTATATTTGAATCACCAAAACAAACAACTGTCATCAACTGTTAAATTAAGTAAGCAATGCGCATAATAACTCAATAGATGTAGATAAATAACATTTCAACTTAAGTTATGTGGTTGACCTTTGAAGACACGCCTATTTTGAGAACCAATTTCCTAAAATCGACCAATTAACAGTCTTCTTTAGTGATAAAGAGCTATCTAGCTTTCTCAATAACTATGAATATGCATCTTGCCTTGAACCAATAATGCACTTTATACTTTATATACCTTCAAATTATTTACAGGTTTTCTTAACACAATGTCAATTCTATTTCAAACTAAATTGTCTTCACAATGTAGTTGTGTATTGATCTCCCTTAAATACAATAGATAATTTCTTTCTTTTTTTTTACTATTCCACTCTTGTTCTCGACGTGAAAACCAACCTCGTTTTTCAAAGATAAAACTTTCTATTTAAACGGAAATCATGTTGGAAGCCAGAATGATGGATGCAGTGTGCGCAACACTCGCGAGGCGCCCAGATATTGTCGAGGCGCCCAGTTATTGTCTCAATCATGAAATATTCATACGAATACACCCTGGAAATATACTTCGATTGACATTCTCCAACTTGCTGCTTCAATTTCGCTCATGAAATTGGCAGGCGAGCGGTTTTTGATAAACAATGTCATTCGCGACATTATTAGGAAACAAGCTGTAGAATATTTCCGGCAGAATAGTATCTACTCCACCGGATATTTAAATATAGGGTGAAATGCAATTCATAACCAAATTGAATTCATTCATTTCTACATGTTGAATTAATAAGTCACGAGTGAATGTTATTCTATGGTATGTATTTAGGATTATGATAGGTATGTACAATATACAGTGAAGGATCTTCATCCTAATATGTTGGTTGCATGGGAACATTTATTTTCAAAACCCTTTTTTAGTTCGCATAGGCAACAAAGCTTCTTTTGCAAAGGTAAATAAGGAGAGAAGTCCATACTTTTTATTCCTTTTGGAGAAATAATTTGAAACTACATCTCCATCTGAAACAAAAATTTATAATTTCAAGTACAGTTTCAAATTGAGACAAATCACATTGAGACATAATTCATAATCAATTATTGAACAAATTTGAATTCAGAATATATTCAAATGAATGAATGATCGATTGAAAATTGAAACTGAATTAGTTTTAAATGACTATATGAACACATCATAAACAAAATGAAATTTTTGCACTTTTTGTTGAAAATCAAACTGTATTTTAAAGTTCGCCTGGTATTTTGTGAACCATTCATTATAGATTAACAGCCAAACTATAAGTGACTCTCGCAATTTTGTTGGTTCGTTTTCACTAAATCCAATAAAAATTTTTCTTTACATTCATTGTGTAATACACATTCAATTCATTTATTTGTCGTTTCTTTAGTAAACAGGCTACGAAAATATTTGGTTCGATAATCTCAATAATCTAGTCGCAAGATACACCCACAGGCAAAAAAAAACGGCCAGCAACAAAATGCGAAATTGATCGTTCTGTAACTTTTTTATGTATAATAAAAAAAGCTGATGGCTTGGTCATTATACAGGAAAAAACTAAAGTTACTATACTTCACGATTAAATTCTCAACACCTTGTGGCATCATGTTTTGGATTTATGTGTGATCCCTGTTTAACACAATGGTTTTCGATTCACGTCGCGATATCTTCTTTCAAAGAGATGATACAAATATTTCAAGAAAATATGAATTTTTCAAAATTGCCGTACCTACATGAACTTATCGATGAACATCGTGTTTTAGCCCTCTCCGATAAACAGAAACCTTGATTATATTAAATACAACAAAAAGCAGACCTCCTAGATGTAGTCAATAACGATTATGCTCCCCCGAGCATCCAACCGCCGTGGCATCGTTTTGATCAAACTTCTCAAGCAGTCTTGAGGAAATTGTCACAAATTCTCCTTGACAGGCGAATTCTAGCTCTTGGAGTGTATGTGACAAGGCCGTTTGAAGAAGTATAAATGTATAGTTAGAATTGTGAAATGTTAATCATCTCTGGACGTTTTGGGAACGACTCTGCTCCCGTTTTCAATATAAGAATGGAAAATAGTATTCTTCACATTTTTCTTCCTTTTCTCTATTGACACTACTCACTAACAGAAATTGATACAAAAGAGTATCAGGATGTGTTTTTTTATTGACCTTTTGCATTCACCATTTTCATATTCAGATTTGATTGAAGGGGTGATTGGATACCATTTTATATATATTTTAATTAAACAGGATGCAATATTAGATATACCGACGGGGAGAGAAGATCCTAAACATTCAGAGAAATGAATGTCCCACCTCCTCTATTAAACTACATAGAGTATTCTCAACACAGTTCTGAACTTATGTTCATAGGAACTTTTTTATCCGTTAAAAATGCCAAATCACCTCTTGAAGTGGATTCCACACATTTCTAAAAAACACTTTGCATATCCTATTGGATGATTTCTGAATCAAGTTCAAAAACTTCAAAATCAATTTGATAATTTCAATTAGCATTGATTGATTTCCAATTTGAAGTTGTTTTCCCAATGAGGGCTAACATTTTTAGTCTCATCAGTTGGCGTTGCAAGAGCACTCAAGTTATGGTGAGACTTGAGCAGACTTCGTTTTTAAAATTTTTTATTTAACTTGCAATGTATGGATGCACCTCGAATCCCTACGAGGGGAGGTGCGAAGGATATTCAACAAAGCAAAAATCGACCAGAATTGGACCACATATAAGGTTAAACTCACGCAGTACAACAAAGAGATCAGAAAATCAGGCAATCGTGGAAAAAGTTCTGTGAGGAGGTCACAGAAACTCCCACATGTTCAAGGATCCACAAATTGCTAACCAAAGAAGGTACTGTAAACCAAGTTGCAACTTTTGAGGAGAGTCTGAAGATGCTCACTGAAGCACACTTTCCGGCTTAATTAATTCCAAATGAGCCGATAGTGGCAGACAGCACCATTGGCAGGCCGAATAGGCCAACTGCCATGGAATGGAGGCTAGCTACAGATATATCGAGGCCAAACAGAATTATGTGGGCTATTGATAAATCTAAACCTTATACATCCATTGGAGTAGATGGAATATACCCCATCCTGCTTCAAAAGGGACAGGAAATACTAATTCCACATCTGTGTCGTATATTCAAGGCTTGTATAGCAATACGATATATACCCATCGTATGGCAGAAGGTGACAGTCATCAACCTACCCAAGGTAGGAAAGGTGGGTGACAAAACGCCTAAATCATACCGCCCAATAAGTTTGATGTCGTTCCTGCTCAAAACACTGGAGAGACTGATAGACAGATACATAAGAGACGAGGTATCTCAAAGAAACCCTCTAAACGAAAACCAATATGCGTATCAGCCAGGCAAGTCAACTGACTTAGCACTGGATGATCTGAACAGGCTACGCGCAAAGACGATAGAGGACAAAGAAATAGCTATAACAACATTCGTAGACATAGAAGTTGCTTTCAACAACGCACCAACAAATTCTATAATTAACGCCCTAGCAAGGAAATAAGTACCACTACTCCTGTGCCAGTGAATAAATGTCAATTTGAAAAATAGGGTTATCATATCAACAATTGGCAGTACGGTCTCGGAGCTCACACAAACCGCTCTAAACATAATTGACAAATGGTGTAAAGAGGAGGAACTCACCGTGAACCCTCATGAAACCTCTATAGTGAATTTCACGAAAAAGAGAGTACTGGAAGGATTAATGCCACCAGTACTCATCGGGGTAGAAATTCCGTTCGCCCTAGAGGCAAAATACTTAGGAGTCATATTTGACCATAAGTTAACATGGAATCAACACCTACAAAAAATTGCTCAAAAAAGTACAGTAGCCTTCAATCTGTGCAGACGAATATGCGAAAAAAATTGAGGACTGCAATCAAAAATGACCACATGGGTCTATGCCAGCGTCATCAGACCTATGATAGCATATGGGTCAGTAGTTTGGTGGCTAAAGACACAACAGGCTGGAGTGATTCGAAGGCTCAGTGCTATTCAAAGGCAAGCTTGCCTGAGTGCCACTGGTGCAATGAAAACCACTCCAACAGCCGCTTTAGAGGTCCTCTTGAACCTGCCACCACTACAAATATATATTCAAGGCGAAGCCAGAGCAATCGTGAGTAGATTGTCAAGGGGTCAAACACCCATGCATAAGCAACGCGCACGGTAAAGAATATAGGAAGCTATATGAAGAGTTGGAAAGCGACCCCATAATGGGAATGCCAACGTATGGCATAATTCCAAAATATAGCTTTGAAAAAACTTTCAACATAAGTATAACGGACAGAGAGGCATGGAAGGAAGGACCTCCTATAAATGCAGACATTGCTGTCTATATGGACGGCTCCAAAACTGAGGAAGGACCAGGAGCTGGTATTTATGGGGCCAAGCCAAAGACAAGAATCTCACTGAGCTTAGGTAAATACGCGACGGTGTTTCAGGCAGAAGCTATTGCAATACATCATTGCGTGAAAGAATTGTGAGGCAAGAGTTTAAAGGCAAAACCATTGCAATCTATTCAGATAGCCAGGCGGCCATCAAAGCAGTCAAATCTATGCAAGTTGGCTCAAAACTAGTATGGGACTGCATAGAAATCCTAAATAAACTGGGCAGTCAGAACAGACTGACTCTAGCATAGCATGGGTACCAGCACAAACAGGGTACGAGGGCAATGAAGAGGCAGACTCACTTGCCCGAGCAGGAGCAAACAAAGCTCTGAATGACCCAGAACCATTCTGTGGTATTGCGAAAGCTATACAAAAGACTAGTATCAAATCATGGATGCAAGCCAAATCTCAAGAATGGTGGAACAGCCCGCCAGGTATGATACAGGAAAAAGAGTTTATTAAAAAACCATCGCCAACAATCACAGAATATCTATTGAGCCAGAAACGAAGTTCAACTAGAATACTAGTGGGACTTCTCACAGGGCATTGTAGGCTCAACAAACACATGAGTACGATAGGTCTGACTGAAGAACTGCTGTGCAGGTTCTGTCAGGAAGAAGAGGAAACAGCAGTACACATACTTTGCCACTGTGAGGGCTTGTCAAGACTAAGGTTTCTTACGCTGGGTGAGGAAAAACCAGAAGCCCAAAGATACACAGGGGATATGAAAGCTAGCCTATGGACGCAGGGTATAACATGAAGTTATAGTCATGTTGTAGCCATCTAGTGGCAATAAAGCTCTAAGGTTGCCACTAGATGGCTACAACATGACTATAACTTCATGTTATACCCTGCGTCTTCGAAATGGGTGATATACCCGAAGCGTAGAGTTGTCCCAGTTGTCAGCAGACCGAGAGCGGCTGATGATACTTGGTGGGTCGAAACAGTACTGTCTCGCTCCTGCTGACAATTGGGGCAACTCTGTTCATCCTAGATCTCTTAGTTATGAGATCTATCAGTTCACTAGCCTATGGAGTCTCATAGAGAAGGCGGGGCTAGCCAAAGAACTCTAATCGATTTTGAGGGCAGACACAATATATCTGAAAAGGTCGCGGTGTGGAGGCAGATAGCCCGAAGGCCCCATTCTAAATCTAATCTAATGGATGCATGTTAGTTCGGGTGGAATCTTTGAACTCAATTTTGTAGCAGATATCTTCAACCGATTGAGCTGAAATTTTGTATACACGTTTAGTTTGGATGACGATGCACGTTGATAGTTATTTATGTACCAAGGTAGTGAAGAATGTCATTATTACAGATTTCACAAAATAAAATTAGTACTAGTTTATTCACACAGGTAAATCGCGTGACAAGCTTTTATGATCATATAGTTGATAGTTAAAATTATAAAGGAACATTTCATTTTATTTTTTTAGAGCTTTTAAATGAAAGCTTTTTTTTTTTAAATTACCTTTAAATTATTTACTCTCAATGTGGCACTTTACGACCAATTCTTACGTTGACGGAGAAGATATCGTAGGAAGATGTCAAACGACACGAAAAATGGATATTTATACACCAAGGTAGTAAAGAATATCATTATTATCCAGGAACCAAGATTGTATCCCGAGGCTTCACCCGGTCCTGTGGTAATAATATTCTTTACTACTATCATTTTTTGTTTCACCACTGGCCTCTATTATGTCAATCATTATAGTTCTGTGAAACGTACCTATTGTCACTATAAAACCACTTCATAAAATGACTACCTTGGTAGAAAAAAAACACTTTACGCCTCAAAAGTAAATAATGTTAAGTTCTATAGCTAGTTGTGGAAAAAAGAAGTATATTTATCAGTTCTACCAACTATGACCTCACGTCTCGGCTCGGTAGCGCTAACTGGTGGACAATAAAATAGTGTTAGCTCTCATCGAATTTCGTAGTCGAATATGTTTAATAAACTGTATTTGAGTATGCTTATTGTCAATTTGAAACTGTTCAATAAGGAAGTGGTTGCAATGTGTTTATTCACTTTGAAAATTGTTAGTCCAAATTTGAAATTGAAAATGTATTTTTCGTCGACCTCTACGAGAAATCACATTTTACGTTCTAATTTCCGAACGAAAACCCGACTATTTCGGAAGGCAAGTGTACTTTTCGTCTGCTGCAGAGTTGCCAGTTCTACTGAATTTTCAGCAGATCTCCTGATTTGCATATTGATCTACTGATTTACTGAAACATTTCATAACCTACTGAAAAATATTTTGACCCTTAAATATTATTATAATTACCTATATATCATTATCAATATTTAGTTATTCACGTACACTTATAAATTACATGATATTTCGGCACGCTCTGTTCAAATTAATTTTAGAAAATAAATAATAAATGTACATATAGGTACTAATAAGGATATGTATAAACCAAAGAAGGACAATACTTTATCTGATTCAAATCAAATTCAATTTTTTATATACCTATTTAATAACAGTTTGTTTCTTTACGTTTAACTGTTTTATTTGTTTTGTATTTTTGTTGTTTATTCTAACTATTCGTTCCTGTTTTTTTATATACTCGAATCTTATAAGTACCTATGTAACTGTATTTTGTGATATTTGTATTTTTAAATCGAGAATTAGGAATATGATTATTTTTTCATGAGAATGTTCGTTTTGTTTGTTTCTATTCTGTTGGAAATAGGTTACTTTTCTGTCTACTAAAAGTACATAATGTTTTGACGTCATAATCTTTTCTTGGATTTCGTATAGCATGAAATACATCTGAATTTTTGACAGTGTATTTACTGATGGAATAAAAATCGATCTGGTAACCCTGGTCCGCGCGGAGAGTGAGTTGACAACAACAGTCATTTGCTGTTGTCAAATTAATTATTCACGAAATCCGATAGATTTCACGTGTGCATGGGATCATGATGTGAATATAAGTGTTTGAGGTCGACGAGAAAATGTAATAGGCACCTCGGCGAAAAACCGTCTATTGTCTAGCCTGATTGCAATAAGCCTCTGCTAAGGCCTCGTCCTTGGTACATGAACAACTATTGAAGACACTAGGAAAGGGTGACTAAGAATCGACTTGATAGGAATAATGATCTACTTAAAAAAAATACTCCTGATCTATAATGGCGTACAGCACCCCAAATGAGAATCAACAGGACTCAACATCAACCTTACTAAAACCACACTAGTAGTCTATGAAAATTATCAGAGTGGATGGGAACAATAAAAACAGCATGCATGGAGAGAGTGGTGAGATACTTGAGCGTTATCTTGAACTAGAAATATCTTCGGAATAAGTGGAGAAGTGCATATATATTGCAAGAAAGAGCTAGAAGGAGATATGTACCCCTAGGGGCCCTAGGACCTAGATGGATGTACGAAGCAAATCAGAAATGAGACCAATTATCACATAATATGGAACACATAACTAGTCGAGCAAAGGCTAATCTCATGAACAGACTAGCATGGGTTGCACGTCCCACATCAATGGAGGTAATTCTAGACTTAAATTCTCTACATTCTGTTCAGTTCAGAATGAGTGATCAGGGCAGACCAATCTGCCCACTCAACCAGAAAATTGAGGATGAAATAAAGAAGCGCAGCTTTGTGATACAATTCACCATAAGGATGAGCTGCAAGAAATAATGGAACAATAAATTCAAGGGTATGAAGCTTGAAGGAGCAACGGATGTATCAATAACAGAAGATTGCTCGAAACCGAAGATGGAACTGAAATAGAAATTTAGTGAACTCGGACCAAGCACTTTGAAAACCTTGGCAAAAACTGGAAAAACTGGAAGAATGTCCGAAAATTTTCAAGTTCTCAGACAAGCTGAGATACTATTGAGAATCAATAATTTTTTTGTTAATGGTAAATAATAAAAGATTATTATCATTATTATTATTATTATTATTATCATTATTATTATTATTATTATTATTATATCAGCTTAGGCACGAACAAATTTTGTCGTCGGCTGAGAGGACAACTTGGGAAGATGAATACAGATTCTGAAAGAGGAGGAATCCTCTATTCATATACACATGAAATGTGTCACCCTGATGCAGAACCCATAGACAACAAACTTAGTAACGGATTGAGGAGTTGTTACCCTACCTGGATTCACCTCATATTGTGTAATTCGTTAAAGAAATAGGATTAGAGAATTTGCTATAGTCACGGAGACCAAAACGAGGGTGCACAATAGATATATTTAAGCCGTGTATTCACCCCTTATGCATAAAAAATGAATATATAAAATATAAATGAGTGAGTGATACAAAAAGTAATGAGTTATTATGAATAAATGAACTTATAAAATCGTGAATTCTCAATTGATAATTTTCTTTGCAATATGAAAATATTTCTTGGCTAATACTGAAAATAAGGATCCAGATTCTTACAGTGTCCAAAGTTTTCCCACTCACCACACATGTACTTATCAAAAGCAAGTTCTTACCTCGTCCATCTATGCTAGTGGGCAGAACATTATCATTGGCTGATAAAGACACAAATAGTGCGAATGGTACTAACCACTGGAATAAGGTGAAATATGCTAAGACCTAAAATGCATGCAAGTATAAATATTGAGTAGGTAAATATGCAGTTATTTGAAGATGAATGAGTTAATGTTACCTCTGAAAATGGATGGTAAACAGAAGCAAAATAGGCGAAGGCGAGATAATGATTAATGATGACAAATAGTACAGCTGTCACAAATCCTAATGATATAAAAGAGAAAAATGGAAAATTTCTCAATATCATATAATGGGATAATTGAGCTAACAGTCCAAAAATTATCATTGTAACTGGAAAACTTTCGAAGATCCATAGTAATATATAGAGTATTAAAGTAATCTGAAAAAACATGTTAAGCTTATTCTAGCATGAAATATAATTTAAAAAGTAACTTACAGAGTTCATCCACCATATGACCTTTTTTGCTATAGTTGTGTACTCTTCTACTAATTCAGCTATATAATAGAGTCCAGCGGCTAGAAGGAATAATAAAGTATTTCATCATCGATCCAAACAAATGGGGTAATTTATTCGTTTTTTTCTTATGGAAAGGAGGATATATTTTGACGTACCGTCAAACGGGGTTACTTTGCACAAGATTTCGAAGGTTTTGCAAATATATGTTTTTTCCATGCGTAGTAAGTCCAAATATGACATATGTGAAAATTTCATGTATTGGCTATGCGCGATGTCAACATTTGGTGACAAAATTTCAACACAGAATAATTTTTTTTAATTTTTGAAAAGTTGGCGAAGTTTCCCGACAGTCGGGGTAAATTTGCCGACGTGTATATATTACATTTGGGAAGAATGAAAAGTGCTTGCATTAGCAATGTTGAACAACCAAATGTGTATTTTTGCTACGAAATATTGGAGAAAAAAATAAACTAACTTTTCGTACTTAGGAGGGTGATTTCGTGAATTTCACGTGACAAATATCTATGAGAAAAATTCACTTCATTTTCATATTTACAAAATAAGAAACATCATCAGGTAAAATACCGAGGTGAACATAAAATTTTTTGGTATCAATAAAGGAATGGAATTTGCATCTAACTTCAATAATAGACATTTTGTTCAATCAAACTTAAAATTCTATAGTTGAGGATATATTACTTGGGCTTGAAACACTTGGTATGATGTCGTGTTCATAGACATAGCTCACATCATCTACAATGTGTAGGGAAATTGTAATGTATGTATTCTCTATAATCGAGGAAATTTTTTCATCATAGGGTGATGAAGAAAATACGTGGTAACATTTCCAACATGAACAGAAGTTACAATCTTAGCATGTATATTTTCAAAATGCTGCCATATAAAACAACACATACATGAAACTCAGTTTTCATTTACAAGTTACTTCAGTAATGCAACCCTTAGCAGGGCAGTATTATCAAAGTAATGAAATATTACCATTCAAACTACGTGTGTGAAACTCTTAGCCACCAATGCGCACCTTAGCTGAAACGTACTCAACTGATATGTTGAAGTGTCCCAACCACTTTCTGTGATATTTGGCGCTCAGGAGATACCAACCTGAATTTCACCATCATGGATTCATTTCAAAAATCACCGTTTGGCGAAGTCATTTCTCGATGGCAAAGTAACCCCGTTTGACTGAATTGTTGAAATGGGTATCACTCATATCTCTTCGCCCCTACACACCATGCACCCCTCAGATTTCTTAAAAGTAGGTAATTACTTACCTTGTCATACCTCATTGGATAGGTGATTTCTTCAGAAATTCAGCTAAGTAATTTTCAGTCCCGAGTTTTCATTCTCCGCTCTGAAGTCTGATAATAAAGTTGAATTGAAGTGTCATAAATTGAGTCATTGTTGATCATAGTTGATAGTAATTAACGCATACAGAATTCCTAGAAAAACATGTCCATGAATGAAACAATAAAAATATGAAAACATCCTTTACAGGGCGTTCTCAAAGTAGAGTCATTTATTTCAACAGCTTGTAGAAGAGAAGACAATTTATGATTCCAAATTTTTTGGGATTTTCTCTCCTCGTTTCTATAAAATAAAAATATGAATATTATTTCAATATACGTGTAGTAGGGACATATCAGATGATTTGCCCCAAAATGTCACTAAAAATCGTTCAAATAAAAATTCGATTCGGAGTTGTTGGATTGTTTTGCTCACATACATTTTTTGTGTTCACTACCGACCCTGGGTATGACTATTTTGTTGGATAAACTAGTATACATAATATCAACTTAACAAATTAGCATTATCAATACACTTGAAATCTAATTTTTGTTCTAATTCTCGCATTCTGCCACTTTGTGAACGATTTTTGATAGATTGACTCCTTTTTACGAGTTCTACACGCTGTTAATTTCAATTATTCAACTTTGTATAGCTGGAAGTGGAAAACAACGATTGGCTTTCTCATGATACTGACTTGTTTCATTGATAAACGTAGAATAACAGCAAATAAAGCTATTCACTTTGAATCATCGAGGCCATAATGGACAAGTTTCCATTATTGAGGTTTTTATCTCACTGTGAAGTTTGTAAAAATTCAATACATCCGTATTTTTTCTTTTTTCAGTAAGATCAAATTTCACTTCATGAAAAATAAATGAAAATGGAATTTGGCTGATTCACCTCTGCTTATGACGTACTTTATGAATAGCCACATTCACACAGAGTCAAAATACGAATCCTTGTGTCAGTACGACGGCATCATCAATGTGTCTAGATTTCCGGAAATAGTTATTTGAATACATCATAACTAATTCATGGCAGCAATGGGATGTAATACGTTTTTTAATCCTACTTCGTCGAGTATTACAAATAATTTTCATAAATCTCTTATTTGCTGGATGAAGTTGATTACCAATGAAGATAAATTCAGATATTTTGCAATAGTAGGTATTTATAATTTTTCACTTTCGAAATATTACAAAATGGTCATCATAACTTGTCAGTCTTTTTTTTTTCAAATGAATTCGTTCCTTTATAAAATGGATCTATTTTCTACGAAAGTTGCAGATTATACCTTGCAACAGCGCATAATACTCTGAGCCTGTCCACATCACACAAAATACTGACAGGCACGCCGAAAGCTGATCTGATTTTGTGATTATGTTGTATGTTTCTGTTTACCAGTTTCACTAGTTCGATTTTTGATCTCCAATTATTCGTTAGCCTATCTCTACAGTTTATAGTTGTTTTGTTAGTTAGTTGAACATCGTCATATTTCATGATATAATCAACAACGACGCCAAGTTTTCTTCTTCTATTTTTTCAATTCGTTTTCTATTCGTGAGTTATTCGCTAGTTATATTCTTCATAATCAGCTATATACGGGGTGTTCCTTAATGATATGCTAATATTGAAGGGGCCGATTCTTCGACCCATTTCAAGAATAAAACTTCATATGAACGTATGTCGTTAACATCTTGACTCTTGAGATACAGGGTGTCGATGATAGAAATATGTATGATTTTTGTTTGGCTAGGCTTCGCTGAGTCGGCAGTCTTAGGACTGCTGGCTGGGGACTACACTGCACTGATGAGAGTCAAAGAGCTCGAAACCGGTCTGTGGTTGTCTAGCGGCCTGGCTTAATCGAAATCAATAGGCATTCAGAAAAGAATCACTTGTATCAGTATTCGTTTATACGAGTCGATACATAGATTTCGGGAAGATGTAATTCAATATCCTGCGTGGCATTAGCCAGGGAAGTAGTTGTTTTTCTCCCGAAATCTACCATTGTTGTTCATTTTATGAACACTGTGTGGAAATGACTGTGAGCTTTTTGCATTTATTTATGCATAGATTATTTTTTTGTCCACCCTGTATAGCTTCTCTTGATGGCAAAATTAAGTCTGATATGTGACTGAATCGGTACACGAATTTCAAAATGTTACATACTGTGGTTATCCAGTAATGGATGTCGTGAATGGAGTACTCACACATCAAAATGAGTCTGCTCTCGTTTTTCCGTTTTTTCTCGAAAACGAAGCGTTCTATCGAGTATCAAAAAGATGATCTTTTTGTACATAATTTAATAGCCTTGTATAGCATTACATGACATCTCCAGATTGTTTGTCGTTGCTCACTTTTAAGTAAAATATAAACAATAATATTCCCGCAACGGTGCCACTGGTAGAGGAAATTAACATTTTTGTACATCTAAAAATGCACCTTGATGCATAAAAGACGTGTACCGAATTTCATGAAGATGTATACAATATTGTCTGTTATTATAAAAAAACTGAATATTTCTCAAAACTTCATCACCCTGTATCTCAAAAGTTAAGACTTTTAGGACATACGTTCTTATGAAGTTTTCTTCTGAAAATGAGTCAAAGAATCAGCCCCTGAAATATTAGCATGTCTTTAAGGAACACCCAGTTTATGTTAAGACAAGATTCAGAATGTACGTTACAGATTGCCGCTCCGAAAAATGAAAACTCATGTGAAGGAAAATTCCCCATTTTCGAAAAAGATAAATTGAATTTACATTGGTAGTTGAATTCCTGATGCAATTCTATTACCTATCTATCCATTGGGGTATCAAAGCGTTGGTTTTTTCATTTGAGAATTTCGAGGGGTGGTGTGCAAGTATAGAAGCGAGTGATACGAGTCTCACTCATTATTCTGATATATTCAGGGCGGGCCCTATACATATTAAAAACCCTCCTGCTTGATTATTTGCTAATGTCTTTCGTATGCATACATGAAATAGTATTGTTATATCTACCTACGTAAGTATGAGACGTTCATGAAGCATTTCAAAACAATTGAAACGTATCGTAAGTCGCTTAGATCGAAAGTTGGTTGGGAAATCGGAGGTAAAATGGCTAGAATTGTTACCTACCACCACCAGATTATGGATCCACTTGTCGAAAAATCGTCCTGTTCGTTAGAGGGGTAGGGGAGGGGGTAGTTGAGAAAAAGATATGGATTGTTTTATTCACGAGAAATATCAATTGGTTTCGGTACTTCCACCCTGTCAAATCCTAATTCCGTTAGACAAGTCGAACAAATTATATTAAATTTAGAGATCCACCAATTACATTACGATATCTATGTATATGAGGAAATTATATTTCAAACAGCTGAATTTTCATTGAATTGTTTTTTTATAGTTACCTCGCATTATCTCAGAAGCTACAACGTTCAACGAAAAATACTCTACTGTAGAAGTCCATGTGGTCTCCACAAAGTTTAATATCATCAAACCATAAATGGAAAGGGGACATGTTTCGGATCTATACAGTATCCATCATCAGCCGATTGAGAAAAATTATCCTACAAAGAACAAAACAACAATGCTTTTGGGTGTATGATAAATTGACATTCATCATACAGGGCGTGGAAAGAAATTCTGAATTGAGACTCTATCACGAATCTGCGATTAGAGGTCTATAAAAATCACAAGTTTCCATCGTTCAAGTTTGAACCCCCTGATTGGGTATGAAAGTCTTGAAAAGGAATATTCTCAGATGAA